AAAACAGAAAGAGTATCTACTGAACAGACAACTGATCCGCCCATCCACCTCTCCCTACGGTGCACCAGTTCTACCAACGCACTGAACAAACAGACAACACTGACTACAGCGCCAGTATTCATCCTACCGGATCCAGACAAGGACTACGTGGTGGAAGCAGACGCTAGTGACCAAGCAGTCGGAGCAGTACTGATGCAGCATCAGGAACGCAGTTTGCAGCCCATCGCCTACCTCAGTAAGAAGCTGTTACAGTAGGAGAAAGACTGAGCTGTAAGGAAGGGTTCAGGAAAGATTTGGGTACCGAATTATGCCCCGCTACGGCATATCCTATTGGAGGATTTTCACGACGTACCATACGCGGGACATTTCGGGAGCAACAAGACGTTAGCGGGAATAGCGAAGTATTACTACTGGCCTTGGATGGTAGCAGACGTGCAGCATTTCGTCACCTCTTGCGACACGTGCCAGCGGATAAAGAGTAGCAAGCAGAATAAAGCAGGGTTACTTTAGCCTCCACCTGTAGCGGAGCAGCCATGGCAGGTCGTTAGCATCGACTTTATCACAGGACTTCCTTCGACCTCATGGGGGCACGATTCCATCCTCGTAGTCATCGATAAGTTCTCCAAAATGGGTCACTTCATACCGACCAACGCCATAGCTACAGCTGAAGCAACTGTTCACCTCTTCTTCGACCGCATCATCACCATCCACGGCATCCCCGCTACACTCATCTCAGACAGAGACCCAAAATCCACCAGTAAGTTCTGGAAGGAGCTCATGGGACTGTTGTGGACAAAGCTTGCAATGTCTTCAGCATACCACCCCCAGACTGACGGACAGACAGAGCGACTCAATCAAGTGGTTGAACAGTTACTGCGCACAGCTTGCAAGGACGACGTCAGCCACTGGGACACACAGTTACCGACCCTAGAGTTCGCTTACAACAACGCCTCACATGCGGCCACAGGGAAAACTCCTTTCTTCCTGTGTTACGGACGGGAACCACTCACACCACAGCAGCCAACCACACCGGCACACGTCCAAGCCGCACATGACTTCGTCACCACCATGCAACAACTATGGGAGAAGACTCAGCGACGACTCACCACGATGCAGACCTCCCAGAAGCAGTATGCCGATCGTCAGCGACGTGATCACTCAGTAGCAGTCGGAGATCAGGTGCTTCTTGACACGCGCACCTTGAACCTATCTCACCTCCCATCCAAACTCCGACCTCGCTTCTGTGGTCCTTTTCTCGTTGAGGCACAGGTGACACCAGTTACATTCCGCTTGCGCTTACCAGATACATGGAAGCTTCACAACGCTTTCCATGTTCAGCTACTGAAGCCCTACAAGGACCCCAACCAACAGTTCCAGGGACGGCAGCTACCGCCACCACCACCAGTTCTCGTATAGGATGAACCAGAGTACGAAGTGGAGCGCGTTCTCACTCATCGGCGCCGCGGCGGCAAGCCTCTCGAGTTCCTGATACGCTGGAAGGGATACGACCCCACGGAGGACAGTTGGGTTGCAGAAGCTGATATGGGCAACGCACGCCGTGCTCTCAAGGAATATCTTGTCAAGCAGGGTGTATCTCATGCCACCTAGCTTTGAGGGGGGGACGTGTGAGAGTACGACGGCTTATGCCAGCTATGCTTGCTTGCCTTTACTTTATCATGCTATTTCTAGCATAGGATAATTATATGCATGCATGAATTGCTTTATTTCCTAGGCTAGGTGTTTTCCTAGATTTTATTATAGTTATAACACCGAGCTAGGTTGCGTGCACCGAATTCTGGCTTTTCGGTTGCCACCGAATTGCCTTCTACCGAATTCGGTAAGGATCTGTTCGGGACGCTTCGCGGCCCGCGGAACCTTCGCGTAACACCTGGTTACGGGGCCTTGTGTCGAGCCTATATATAGCCTCATGTTGTACCCAGGTGATCATTCAATTCACATTCTCTTTTCTGAGCTCGATCCTAGATCCTCACAAGAGCTGCAGCGACCAGAGGAGAGCTGCAGCGACCAGAGGAGAGCTGCAGCGACCAGAGGACTGAGATCCTTCCAGCAGCAGCAGCTGTGGTGACAGGAAGTGAGCTGCAGTGGCAGCAGCAGCTCTGACATCCCCCTCCCAGCAGCAACAACCATGGAGCAAACAGCAGCACGCAAAGGGAAGACCAGCTGAACGACACGACATGGCAACACGAGAAGAAATTACCTGACCTGCTGAACCGTCCCATCTCCCCAAGAGATGTTACTTGATGCTGGCGGAGGTGGCCGAGGGGAGAGGAAGAGAGGAGGCGCCAAGTCGACCCTGGAGTCAACTCACAGCAAGGCGAGTCAAAGGCATGAGCAGAAGGCGCCAGAGTCAACGCTGGGGTCGTTGCCAGCAAGGGAAGGGAGGAGAGGAGACAGTTGGACTGACATCAGCGGTGGCAGTAGCAGAGGAAGTAGAAGAGAGGCCCGCAGTGAGACCTGAAGAGAGAACCAACGATGACACCATCGGTGGCAGCAGCGGTTGCATGAGAAGAGAGGCCCGCAGTAGCAGCAGCGGTGGAAACAACAGCAGTGGTGGTAGCAGCAGCAGCGGGGAGCAGCAGCAACAGCAGCAGCAGCAGTGGAGGGAGATGGCTGGGACCTGCTGGGAGGGGCATAGATAGGATGTGAGGAGAGCGAGAGTGAGAGGCGAGCTGAGTGTTGAGAACCGCAGCAAGCTGCAGGGTGAGGGTTGTTGGGCTGAGTGCCACTTAGGATCTTTGGTAGAGTTAAAGTCTGAGTAAAGTAATGTAATAGCGGAAGCGTTTAAGTGAAGTAGTTGAACCACCTTGCGCTGGTACGTGAGGGCAAAGTAAGTTGTTTAAAGCAAAGAGATACAAGAATATATATATGAATACGGAGGATATGAAGAGACATAATTATAACTACTTTACTGTTGCTGTTGCGGTTCGATACAGTGCGACTCGGGCAACTGCTCAATGTCGAGTCAGTTGTGTGTCCTTGCTGTCGCGCTGCATTTGTCAGGTCAAAGGTCGCTGACCTTTGACTTTCGCGTAACCTCCAGCGGTTACATCAACCTCCGAGGGTTGACTCGTTGGTGCCTCGATATGCTCTGCTTCGCTTGTGCCTTGGTGTTTCGACACAACAGAGGAGCTTAAGATTGTTTGTTCCCAACCCTCCCCTTCGCTTCTGGAGTGTCGCTGATGGTGACGTGGCTTTGTCCAGTCAGCAGCATGCAGTCCTCGAACTTCTGTTTTCCGAGTTTCTTGGTCAAGTAGTCGGCTGCCATCTCGGAAGTGGGACAGTAGGATAGTTCAAGTTTCCCCTTCTCGATCTTGTCTTTCACGAAGAAATATCGCAGAGCGATATGATTCGTTCTGTTCGCGAATCCACTTTTGTTGGCGATGCGAATTGCAGATTGGTTGTCGCAGAACAGAGTGAAGTTTGGTAACTCGGCTAACTTCGCTTCTTCCAGCAGCTCGCGAAGATAGAGTCCTTCCTTGGTGGCTGAGCAGAGTGCAATATATTCTGCTTCACCTGACGAGAGAGCGATTAGTTCCTGCTTACTCGATTGCCAGGAGATCAGTCCGATAGGTTCAAGGCGGTAGATGTAGCCAGTGCGGGAGCGCCTATTGTCTGAGTCGCCAGCGTGATCGGCGTCGACGTAGCCGATTAATGTAGTCGGTGTAGTTGTGTTCTTGTAGTAGGTCAGACCGATCGCTGAGGTACTGACGAAGTAGTGGAGAGCGCGGTCGAGCTCCGCCAGGTGTTCTGCTTCAGGTCTTTTGAGGTAGGTGGCGAGTTGACTTGCGGAGTAGGATAGATCTGGGTGGCAGGTGACGGCTGCGAAGAGAAGGCAGCCCAGTTTTCTCTGGTAGTAGCGTATCCCGGCGGATTTGAGTAGAGAGGGTCCTTCGTTGTGGTTTCCTGTCGTATAGCGGTAGGGTGTAGAGATGGTGGTAGGTGTGAGCGCGAAGCGTTTGGCGATGGTGTCGGCGTACTTAGCGGCGTTGAGGTAGATCGCACCTTCTTCTTCCCGAATGTTTAAGCCGAGGTACTGTGTGACGGTAGAGGAGATTGTGAGTGTGAGGTCCTTCTGTAGCTCCCCTTCGAACCAGGTGGTGATGTCGTCAGTAGAGCCGATGTAGAGTAAGTCATCTACGTAGACGATCAGCAGAATGTAGTCGGTGTCTTTGGTGAGTTGGTACATCCCTTGGTCATGAGGCAGTTGGCGGAATCCGTGTCAAACATTATATATGTTGTGTTAGTTTAGGCTACAGTGGGTTAGCCTATAAGGGGTACACAATTCTAGGGTTAGGTACTTGTACTCATTTCACTGATAGTTCATTCATTCCTGTTCAGTTATTCCAACATGGTATAGAGCAGGTCCTTCCTAGGACCGAAATTTTCTAAGGGCCCACCACTACCTAACTACCTACCTACCTACCTACTTGCGCCCTAGGGCGCCTCGACTGTGTCACGCCCCTAGAGGCCCCTCTTGACGGCCCCGCGCTAGCCCCGTTAAGGCCCCGTCGGCCCCACGCCCGCTCTCCCTAGCGGCCCCGTTCAGGCCCCGTCGGCCCCTTTCAGGCCTCGATCGGCCCCGCGCTAGCCCCGTTCAGGCCCCGTCGGCCCCTTTCATGCCCCGTCGGCCCCGCGCTAGCCCCGTTCAGGCCCCGTCGGCCCCGTGCTAGCCCCGTTCAGGCCCCGTCGGCCCCGTGCTAGCCCCATTCAGGCCCCGATCGGCCCCGCGCTAGCCCCATTCAGGCCCCGATTGGCCCCGCGCTAGCCCCGTTCAGGCCCCGTCGGCTCCCTTTCAGGCCCCGTAGGCCCCGCGCTAGTCCCGTTCAGGCCCCGTCGGCAACGTGCTAGCCCTGTTCAGGCCCCAATCGGCCCCGCGCTAGCCCCGTTCAGGCCTTGTCGGCCCCACGCCCGCCCCGTTCAGGCCCCGTCGGCCCCGCGCTAGCCCCGTTCAGGCCCCGTCGGCCCCGCGCTCGCCCCGTTCAGGCCCCTATCGGCCCCGCGCTCGCCTCTCTAGGGCCCCAAGCCGCCTCGCCGACCCTCTGCCCGCTGTCCCTAGAGGCCCCGACCGGCCCCGTGCCCACCGCCCCTAGAGGCCCCGGGCGGCCCGTTCCCGCCGCAGCCCGCGACCGAACCGAGCCGCGTGACCCGAGCCGCGCGCCCCGAGCCGGACCGCGCACTCCGAGCCGAGCCGCGCGACCCAGCCGAATCGCGCGACCCGACCTGAACCGAGCCGCGCCGCCCTGCCCTACCTGGTTCGTCCTACCTGCTTCTCCTACTACTACTGCTGCTATTTCTGCTGTTCCTATGGCTAGCCCACAGGTTCTCGTGTTTGATGCTGAGGGCCACCCTGTGAAGTTTGACACCTGGCTCGATGACCTGCACCTCTACCTCCAGCTCACAGCCAAGGATGACATCTCACTGTACGATCACGCCCTAGGCCATGTCACTGCCCCTTCTGCTACTGCTGACAGCACTGCTCGCTCACAGTGGCAGACTCATGATGCCCACGCTCGCTTCGCTATTCGCAACTCCCTGCCGATAGACGAACGCGAGCACTTTGTCCAGCACAAGACTGCACAGGCACTGTACACAGCTGTAGTTGCTCGCTACTCCTCACCTGCCTCTGCCGCACTAGGCCGTCTCTCCCTCCCCTACCTGTTTCCCGACCTGGCCTCGTTCCACACAGTAGTTGACCTCATCACGCACCTCCGTACTAGTGAGGCCCGCTTCCATGCCGCCATGCCCGCTGAGTTCCTTGCCACGCACCCTCCTCCACTCTGGCTCACTCTCTACCACCTAGTCACCCGCCTCCCTGACACACTGCGTGCTGTCAGGGACCACTTCCTAGCTCGTTGCCCCACTGAGCTCACCATTGCCCTCCTCGAGAAGGAGCTGCTTGCAGCTGAGACTAGCATAGTCACTGTAGGTGCCTCTCGTGGCGACCCCCGTACCCCGTTCTTTGAGGGGTGTTCTCCTTCCCCCCTTCTTCCCTCTGTCGCCTCTGCTGCTGCTGTCGACCTTCTTGGTGCTGAGAAGGTCAGCGTTGCGTCTGCCTCGAGCGGGCGCCGCAGCGGCAAGGGCAAAGGGGGCAAGGGTGGTGGCGGTGACGGCGGGGGAGGCGGCGGTGGGGGCGGTGGAGGCAGTGGGGGTGGTGGCTCGGCTGGAGGGGCGAGTGGTAGCGGTGGGGGTGGTGGCGGCAACAGAGGTGGCAGGAGTGGAGGCGGTGGTTGGGGTGGCGGTGGACGAGGCGGCGGCAGGGGTTGGGGTGGTCGAGGAGGTGGCAGCGGTGGTGGTGGCCGTGGAGGCGCTGGCGGTGGCCAGGGCCAGCAGCATACTCCTTCGCCCCAGGAGGTCCGTGAGTGGTACTCTCAGCACGGGGGTGGGGGTGGTCTTAGCTGCACGTACGTCATTCGCACTGGTGACCGCACTGGTCAGCAGTGTGGACGACCGCACGCCACACAACGCTGCTTCTCTCGTCTCGGCGACGCTTGGCGTGTTCAGTTCCCTCAGGCCACTGAGCTGCCCCGCTGGCTTGATCTCCTGAAGAAGGGGATTGATATCTATGCTCTAGACTTTGATGCTATTCTATCTGCCATGTATGTGATGTCTACTAGTGGAGAGGGTACTGAGTACTTGTGCAGTGCTCGTGTGTCTTCACACTGGACTCAGGTGCTTCTTGCTGCTTCTTTCGTGACCGCACTGCCCTTGAGCCGCTTGCTCGGCCAGTTGCTGTCTCCCTTGCTGACCCCTCTGGGGGTCCGGTCATTGCGACCTCTTCCACTGTCCTTCCCTGCCGTGCGGTCCGGTCGGGCACACTGTCAGGTCTCCACCTCCCCTCGTTCTCTACGAACTTGGTGGTAGGATGTGCGCTCCAGGACGGGGGTGTTCACCAGTTCACCCCTGCCTACGAGCGCGTGACACACTGCACGTGTGCTCGTACGGGCCGTCACTTGGCTACCTTCACTCGGCAGCCGGGGTCGGACCTGTACACACTGACTACTGAGTCCCCTCAGGTTGCTGCGTCTGCGTCCGCGTCCGCGTCAGGTCAGCTGTCCGCCCCCTGCTCGTGTCGCTCTCTGGCACACGAGACTGTCCTCTGGCACCACCACCTTGGCCACCCGTCTGTGCAGCGGCTTCGTGCCATGCACTCCCGGTACCTTGTCTCTGGCTTGCCCAGGGTCCTTCCTGCCCTCCCACCCTCACCTGCTCCTACCTGTCTCCCCTGTGTCGAGGGTCGGCAGCGCGCCACTCCTCACTCCTCCTCGTTCCCCCCGACGACTGCTCCCTTGCAGACGCTCCACATGGACGTGTGGGGCCCAGCCCGCGTCCGTGGTCAGGGTCAGGAGAGGTACTTCTTGATAGTTGTTGACGACTACTCGCGCTACACCTCGGTCTTCCCCTTGCGCTCCAAGGGTGAGGTCCCTGATGTCTTGATCCCTTGGATCCGCAGAGCCCGTCTCCAGCTCAGCGAGCGTTTTCACTCGGACTTTCCTGTCCTACGCTTGCACTCTGACAGAGGTGGTGAGTTCTCCGACCTCTTGGCAGCCTACTGTGCTGAGCACGGCATTGAGCAGTCGTTCACGCTTCCGGCCTCTCCACAGCAGAATGGGGTTGCGGAGCGCCGCATTGGCCTGGTCATGGAGGTCGCCCATACCTCCTTGATCCATGCGGCTGCCCCCCACTTTCTGTGGCCGTTTGCGGTCCGGTACGCTGCGCATCAGCTCAACCTCTGGCCCCGTGTCTCCTTGCCGGAGACCTCGCCCACGCTGCTGTGGACGGGGGAGGTTGGCGATGCATCGCGTTTTCAGGTCTGGGGGTCTCGAGATTTTGTCCGCGATACGTCTGCGGACAAGCTCTCCTCCCGTGCTGTTCCCTGCGTCTTCCTCGGCTTTGTCCCGGACGCGTCTGGTTGGCAGTTTTACCACGCCACCTCGCGCCGAGTCTTGCCCTCCCAGGACGTCACTTTTGACGAGTCTGTCCCCTAATACCGCCTCTTCCCCTACCGCACTGCCCCGCTCCCCCCCCCCCGCCTCTCTTCCTCGCGCCAGGTGCTGCTGTTGCAGACCCCCTCCCCCCTCAGGGTGCCGCTCCCTCAGGTGTGTCTCAGGTAGACCCGGTTGAGCCTGTTGAGGTAGCTGTCGACTCTCGTCCTGCTGGGGGTGCTAAGCCTGGGGGTGCTGAGCCTAGGGGTGTGGAGCCTGGGGGTGTGGAGCCTGGGGGTGTGGAGCCTGGGGGTGTGGAGCCTGTGGGTGCTGAGCTTGGGGGTGTGGAGCCTCGTGGTGCTGAACCGCAGAGTCCGGAGTCTGGGGGTTCTGGGTCTGGAGGTACTGGACCTGGGAGTCCTACACCTGGAGGAGCCCTCTCCTCGGAGCAGCTGCGTGCGTGGTACTTACAGTACTGCAGCCTCCGGATGGCGCTTCGTCCGTCCACTGCTCCACAGCGTGTCCCACTGCCGTCTCCTCCTGCTTCCTCTCTTCCTGCTCTTGCTGACCCTGGGTCAAACTCTCTTTGTGCTGCCAGTCCTACTGTCACGCGTCTCCTGGCTACTGTTGTCACTGACCCTTCCTTTGAGTCTGCTGCTGCGTCTGCCTTAGTTGCTGAGCTTGTCGACTTTGCTGCTCGCTGTCGTCTAGACTACGCTGCTAGCCTAGTTGCTGAGTCTGAGTCTGTCTGTCCTCCGTCTGTCGGGGGTGAGTGTGCTCTTGGCACTGACGTCCTTGAGGACAGGCAGGAGGAGTTTGAGTGCTTTGCTGCCGCTTTGCCCCATCTCGTATCCATGCTTGTTGCCCCTGAGGGAGACCCGGATGCACCAGACATCCCGACCCCACGCTCTTACGCAGAGGCGATGGCCGATCCCTACTCCTCTCAGTGGCAGTCAGCCATGGACACCGAGATGGCTTCCTGGAAGTCCACAGGCATCTACGTTGATGAGGTTCCCCCACATGGGGCGAACATCGTCAGTGGCATGTGGATTTTCAGGGTGAAGCGGCCGCCGGGCTCTCCGCCTGTCTTCAAGGCGCGTTACGTTGCACGAGGCTTCAGTCAGCGAGAGGGAGTTGACTTCTTCCATACCTTCTCCCCGACCCCGAAGATGACCACTCTTCGGGTTCTGCTGCACGTCGCCGCTCAGCGTGACTACGAGCTCCACTCGCTTGACTTCAGCACTGCTTTCCTGCAGGGCAGCCTGCACGAGGAGATCTGGCTGCGCCGTCCACCTGGCTTCACTGGGTCGTTCCCTCTTGGTACCCAGTGGAGCCTCCGGCGGCCACTCTACGGTCTCCGCCAGGCGCCTCGTGAGTGGCACGACACACTGAGGACTACGCTTGCGGCTCTTGGGTTCGCGCCTTCTACTGCTGACCCATCGCTGTTTCTACGCACCGACACCTCACTGCCGCCGTTCTACGTCCTTGTGTACGTCGACGACTTGGTCTTTGCTACTGCTGACACTGTGGCACTCGCCCACATGAAGTCGGAGCTGCGGAAGAGACACACGTGCACAGACCTAGGTGAACTGACAAGCTATCTTGGCTTGCGGATCACCCGGGACAGAGCACGCCGCACCATCACCTTGACTCAGTCACACATGGTGCAGCAGGTCCTTCAGCGCTTCCGCTTCACGTACTCCTCGCCTCAGCCCACTCCTCTGCCTACCGGTCACTCGCTCTCAGCTCTGCCTTCGGATGAGTCCGTAGAGTCGAGTGGCCCGTATCCAGAGCTTGTGGGTTGCCTCATGTACCTGATGACCTGCACTCGACCAGACCTTGCATACCCTCTCAGCATTCTTGCACGCTATGTCGCTCCCGGCCGTCACCGGAAGGAGCACATGGATGAAGCTAAGAGGGTGTTGCGCTACTTGTGCAGTACGTCGGGCATGGGGCTAGTGCTTGGAGGACGAGTCCCAGTTGTTCTCACTGGGTACTCAGTCGCCTCTTGGGCAGACGACCAGGCTACTCAGCGGTCGTCTCAGGGTTACTCCTTCAGTCTTGGCTCTGGTTCTGGTTCTTGGCGTTCTACTCGCTCTTCTTCTGTTCTCAGCTCCAGTTGTGAGGCTGAGATCTGCGCCACAGCCATGGCGGCCTAGGAGCTACACTGGCTCACCTACTTGCTGACCGACCTTGGAGAGCAGCCTCGTTCTCCTCCAGTGCTGTACGTCGACAACAAGGCAGCCATTGCCTTGTGTGAGGAGCACAGACTGGAGCACAGAACGAAGCACATTGCTCCGCGTTACTTCCTTGCTCGAGAGCTGCAGCAGCGTGGTCAGCTTCGCCTGTGTTACGTGGCCTCTGAGGCCATCACTGCTGATGTGTTCACCAAGGCGCTTCAGCCTTGTGACCATCAGCGCTTTTGCACTCTTCTAGGCCTTGTGCCTACTGGACCTCACTTGCTTACTTCTTGAGTCTGTTTGTACTGTGATCTCTATATATATACCTGCATGTTTACTCTTGCTAGGTTGTGATCATTGTACCTTTTGCTCTATTATAAACCTGCATGTGAACTGGTCTTGTGACCACTTGCTTGTGCTCGGAATTTGTGTGGTATCCTTGAGATCCACCCTGAGCTTGTTTTGCCTTGCTTTGCCTTGACTGGTCTTGTGACCCCTAGTTCTCCCCCACTTCGCCTATGGGGGTGTCTCAAACATTATATATGTTGTGTTAGTTCAGGCTACAGTGGGTTAGCCTATAGGGGGTACACAATTCTAGGGTTAGGTACTTGTACTCATTTCACTGATAGTTCATTCATTCCTGTTCAGTTATTCCAACAATCCGATGCGAGCGAGGCGAGCGTGTAGGTACTGTTGCCATAGCCGCGGGGCTTGCTTGATCCCGTAGAGTGATTTCAGCAGCTGACAGACTTGGTTAGGTTCCCCGTGGGTACCGTGTGGGAGCTCGACGAAGATTTCCGCGTAGACAGGTGCGTAGAGGAACGTGTTGGCGACGTCGATTTGTCTTAACTGCTTCTTCTTCATGGCGGCGATCGTGAGGAGGATTCGAAGTGAGGTATGTCGGCTAACCGGGGCGAATGTCTCGGTGAAGTCCCGTCCGTGCTCCTGATCAAATCCACGCACAACCCAGCGTGCTTTGAATTTCTCAATTGTGCCGTCTTCTTTCGTTTTAATGCGGAAGACCCATTTCCCGATGAGAATGGTCTTGTTCCTTGCCACGCTGATGGGGACAACTTTCCAGGTGTTCCGTTCCTCCAGCGCTTTTAACTCTCTATCCATGTCTTCACGCCATTTTTCCCTGTGTTCCCCCCCCAGAGCCTGCTGAACCGTCGCAGGCTCTTTAGGAAGAGCGTTGCCGTGGACTGCGGTGACGAGTCCGAGAATCTGCAGT